GCATTGTAGAACTCTATCCTTTATCTCTTTACCTTATCAGTTGTACTAATCAGTTTTTTACTGAGCCTTCCCTCCTGATATCACAAACCTCTTCTGCACACACTTGTTTCTAATTTTTACACCTAAACAGAAAAGTTTACATACTTCTACTTAGACTAGTCATCCTTCTCGCAGTGCTTGTTTGCATGTAGTATACAGGATATCACACAAATAACCAGCACATAGAAGAGAGGAGCTTACGACGATGTTTCGGTCCGACTTGTGACTTTGTAAATGGTCCAAGTCTGACCGAAACGTCGTCGTAAGCTCCTCTCTTCTGTGTGCGGGTTATTTGTGTATCGTTCCAGTCACGGTATTGTGCCTTTTTTTTTGTTATTTACAGGATGTCACCTTTTGTCTTCACTTCATTTACTCTCGTTTCTATCCACTGATGGTTTACTACCTGTACATCACTTTCCACTTTTACTTTAGCCACAATAATGATCAAAAGTATCAGTCATTTCCCAGAAGACATGTATGGTACTATACATCTAGTCACATACACTTCAATACTTGAGTATAGTGAGCATCAAACATGTGGAATATCAGAGGTTTTTGTTTCTTGTATTGTGTCTGTACATTCTGGTATGCATGGTATGACTGTCAAAACTGTGGTATGATAGAAGCTATGGTATGATAGCTTTAACTATGGTTTTACTATGATATGACTGTGGTATGATCTTGGTATGACCATGGAAGGACTATGGACAAACCATACCACGGGTGGGATTGAACCCGCGGTCAGAGAGTCTCAAAACTCCAGACCGTCGCGTTAGCCACTGGACCAGCTAGCCACAATAAGATTCGTCCAACTAGGTATATTTCTACATAAAAAGAAGGTTAGCATAGGCACCACTCTGACCACAAATGCAAGTGGTGCCTATGCTAACCTTCCTGTGGTGTAGAAATATACCTAGTTGGACGAATCTTATTGTGGTTAGCTGGTCCAGTGGCTAACGCGACGGTCTGGAGTTTTGAGGTTCTCTGACCGTGGGTTCAATCCTGCCCGTGGTATGGTTTGTTTGCAATCATGTCATTACGATTTTGTGAGACTATGGATAACTTGTGACATGACTGTGATACAGTATATCTGGAGGGTGTTCCAGAGGTCAGTGCCCCCCCAGCCCAGTCCATGACTAGGCGTGGATCAGGGTCTGATCAACCAGGCTATTACTGCTGGCTGCATGCAAACCGATGACACAGTAGTTTCTCTACAGCTCTTTGTGTGAGCTTATAGTACGTGATGCATATACTGTATGTACAGTATATTTCTTAAAAATAATCTTTTCCATTTTCTAGTGATGCCTAGTGTAAAATGGTCATGTTAATATTACCCTTGAGCTTGTTATAACTGTGTGAAATGTGTAAATTATGAATAATAAATAAAGAATAAAGATTTATTTCTTTGTGAAGGTTACAACATGTATTACAGTTTTAATTTTCTAAGTACAGTGGACCCCCGGCTTACGATATTATTTCATTCCAGAAGTATATTCAGGTGCCATTACTGAATGAATTTGGTTCCATAAGGAATATTGTGAATTAGATTAGTCCATTTCAGACCCCCAAACATACACGTACAAACGCACCTACATAAATACACTTACATAATTGGTCGCATTGGGAGCTGATCGTAAAGCGGGGGTCCTGTACATGGAAGACATATATTACAATTTTATAATTTTAACAGCTCGTCAAGTACCCAAAACCATTCATTGTAACTGTATGCTTATACATTGGCAGGCCCTACTTTAAAGTGTTTAACTAATGCAGTGGTTTTTCAGTTATACTTCTTCAGTTATTGAGGCTTCCTACAATAATTATTTGTACCACTTACTATAAGCTAAGGACGAAATTATTTTAAGGTAAGTAATGTGTGTACTGTATATTTTTAGGCCTAGATATATTGCTTAGTTAATATATGATATTGTAAACGTAATGTAAATATGTTATCAGGCTTTTATGTGCATTTGAAAGCGAAAAGACTATGCTTCACTTTACAACAGTAGCCCGGAACCTAACCTGCTGTATAAGTGGGGCCCTCCTGTAAACCAGTAGCCCGGAACCTAACCTGCTGTATAAGTGGGGCCCTCCTGTACACCAGTAGCCTGGAACCTAACCTGCTGTATAAGTGGGGCCCTCCTGTACACCAGTAGCCCGGAACCTAACCTGCTGTATAAGTGGGGCCCACCTGTACACCAGTAGCCTGGAACCTAACCTGCTGTATAAGTGGGGCCACCTGTACACCTGTAGCCCGAACCTAACCTGCTGTATAAGTGGGGCCCTCCTGTACACCCGTAGCCTGGAACCTAACCTGCTGTATAAGTGGGGCCCTCCTGTAAAACCAGTAGCCTGGAACCTAACCTGCTGTATAAGTGGGGCCCACCTGTACACCAGTAGCCCGGAACCTACCTGCTGTATAAAATGGAGCCCTCCTGTACACCAGTAGCCTGGAACCTAACCTGCTGTATAAGTGGGGCCCTCCTGTACACCAGTAGCCTGGAACCTAACCTGCTGTATAAGTGGGGCCCACCTGTACACCAGTAGCCTGGAACCTAACCTGCTGTATAAGTGGGGCCCTCCTGTACAACAGTAGCCTGGAACCTAACCTGTTATATAAGTGGGGCCCTCCTGTACAACAGTAGCCTGGAACCTAACCTGCTGTATAAGTGGGGCCCACCTGTACACCAGTAGCCTGGAACCTAACCTGCTGTATAAGTGGGGCCCTCCTGTACACCAGTAGCCCAGAACCTAACCTGCTGTATAAGTGGGGCCCTCCTGTACAACAGTAGCCCAGAACCTAACCTGCTGTATAAGTGGGGCCCTCCTGTACACCAGTAGCCCAGAACCTAACCTGCTGTATAAGTGGGGCCCTCCTGTACACCAGTAGCCCAGAACCTAACCTGCTGTATAAGTGGGGCCCTCCTGTACACCAGTAGCCCAGAACCTAACCTGCTGTATAAGTGGGGCCCTCCTGTATACCAGTAGCCTGGAACCTAACCTGCTGTATAAGTGGGGCCCTCCTGTACACCAGTAGCCTGGAACCTAACCTGCTGTATAAGTGGGGCCCTCCTGTACACCAGTAGCCCAGAACCTAACCTGCTGTATAAGTGGGGCCCTCCTGTACACCAGTAGCCCAGAACCTAACCTGCTGTATAAGTGGGGCCCTCCTGTACACCAGTAGCCTGGAACCTAACCTGCTGTATAAGTGGGGCCCTCCTGTACAGCCCGTAGCCTGGAACCTAACCTGCTGTATAAGTGGGGCCCTCCTGTACACCAGTAGCCCAGAACCTAACCTGCTGTATAAGTGGGGCCCTCCTGTACAAACCCGTAGCCCAGAAAACCCAACCTGCTGTATAAGTGGGGCCCTCCTGTACACCAGTAGCCCAGAACCTAACCTGCTGTATAAGTGGGGCCCTCCTGTACACCAGTAGCCCAGAACCTAACCTGCTGTATAAGTGGGGCCCTCCTGTACACCCGTAGCCCAGAACCTAACCTGCTGTATAAGTGGGGCCCTCCTGTACACCAGTAGCCGAACCTAACCTGCTGTATAAGTGGGGCCCTCCTGTAAACCAGTTAGCTGGAACCTAACCTGCTGTATAAGTGGGCCCTCGTACACCAGTAGCCAGAAACTGACTGCTGTATAATGGGGCCTTGTACACCGTAGCCTGAACCTAACTGCTGTATAGTGGGGCCCTCCTTACCATAGCTGGAACTAACTGCTGTATAAGTGGGGCCCTTCCTGTACACAGTAGCCTGGAACCTAACCCGCTGTATAAGTGGGGCCTCCTGTAAACCAGTAGCCCAGAACCTAACCTGCTGTATAAGTGGGGCCTCTGTACACAGTAGCCCAAACCTAACCTGCTGTATAAGTGGGGCCTCTGTCACCAGTAGCCAGAACCTAACCTGCTGTATAAGTGGGGCCCTCCTGTACACCAGTAGCCCAGAACCTAACCTGCTGTATAAGTGGGGCCCTCCTGTACACCAGTAGCCTGGAACCTAACCTGCTGTATAAGTGGGGCCCTCCTGTACACCAGTAGCCTGGAACCTAACCTGCTCATATAAATAATACTGATCTGTGTACTATTTACTCATATAAATAATACTGATCTGTGTACTATTTACTCATATAAATAATAATGATCTGTGTACTATTTACTCATATAAATAATACTGATCTGTGTACTATTTACTCATATAAATAATACTGATCTGTGTATAATTTACTCATATAAATAATCTGATTCTGTGTACTATTTACAATATAAATAAAATGATCTGTGTCTATTTTCATTAATACATCTGGAATTTACTCAATAAATAATACTGATCTGTGTAACATTTATCATAATAAATAATACTGATCTGTGTACTATTTCTCATTAAATAATACTGATCTGTGTACTATTTACTCATATAAAATAATACTGTCTGTGTACTATTTTCTCATATAAATAATATATTCTGTGTACTATTATCATATAAATAATTTGATCTGTGTACTATTTTTCTCATAAATAATACTGATCTGTGTAATTTACATATAAATTAATACTGATCTGTGACTATTTACTCATATAATAATACTGATCTGTGACTATTTACTCATATAATAATACTGATCTGTGTATATTTACTCATTATTTAAATAATATGATCTGTGTACTATTTACTCATATAAATAATACTGATCTGTGTACTATTTACTCATATAAATAATAATGATCTGTGTACTATTTACTCATATAAATAATAATGATCTGTGTACTATTTACTCATTTAAATAATAAATGGACTTTTCTCGTGTACAATTTTTCTTTATTATATAAATAATACTGATCTGTGTACTATTTACTCATATAAATAATTCCTAGAAAATTTACATCTTTGTTAAATAATTTTTTCTGTTGCACACAACTTTACAATTTTTGATAGTTTTGTAATGTATATTTGTTTTTCAGCTTATTTTGTTCAATGATGTGCATGACACAGGAATTTTTGACAACTCCAGTCAAAGATATGTTGTTCCAATGACGGATTTTACTTGGGAAGTTAACATGGTATCCAACGACAGTGATCATGAAGTGGGCGCAAGTATTCAAACAAAGACATTTCGCGGAACTTCTCTACCTAATGAAACCAAAATTTCTGTTCAGGTAAGGCTGTATCTCTTTCAAATTACTGTACTATAGAATATTCTATGTACAGTAGAACCCTCATATCCACTGATTCGGCATTTTTATTTTATTTTTTATATCTTTGCAAACAGTACATTGAGATTTTGTATTTACAATAATGGGTTGCAATACAAAGAGAGCCTCTATTATGCCCAGGCATTATGGGCCAACTTAACATTATTGGCTTACAGACTATTTAACACTAAGGATTATATAGTTGTACAGTAGGATAGTAATTATTTCATAATTGTACAGTAGATTATTAATTATAAATGGATCAAAATTTGTATAATACAAAAGATATATTCATATATTCGAAAATGCTTTTTGTGAAAACAATGATTCAGTTATATTCCTGTCAACAATGGATAAATGGTTCAAAGTGATTTTGAAGTTATGATGTGGGAGTACATAAGTATGTGTGTACTGAGTTTAGCTTTTAGTCTAGGGTGATTAAGTGGCTTTTGAGAAGAGTCTAAATTGATTTTCAGACTGGGTTACTTTAATATCTTCTGGTAATGAATTCCATATTTTGGGGCCCTTTATGTGCAAAAAGCTTTTACACAGTGTGATATGGACACGAGGTATATCAAAAAGAGATCTGTGTCTTGTGTTGTGATCATGTGTCCTGTTTAGGTTGGCGAGGAGAAGTTTGAGTGGAGGGTTTATTTTATTTATTAGCACACTGGCCGATTCCCACCAAGGCAGGGTGGCCCGAAAAAGAAAAACTCCCACCATCACTCACCCCATCACTGTCTTGCCAGAAGGATGCTTTACACTACAGTTTTTAAACTGCAACATTAACACCCCTCCTTCAGAGCGCAGGCACCGCACTTCCTATCTCCAGGACTCAAGTCCGGCCTGCCAGTTTCCCTGAATCCCTTCATAAATGTTACTTTGCTCACACTCCAACAGCACGTCAAGTATTAAAAACCATTTGTCTCCATTCACTCCTATCAAACACGCTCACGCATGCCCGGTGGAAGTTCAAGCCCCTCGCACACTAAACCTCCTTTACCCCCTCCCTCCAACCTTTCCTAGGCCGACCTCTACCCTGCCTTCCTTCCACTACAGACTGATACACTCTTGAAGTCATTCTGTTTCACTCCATTCTCTCTACATGTCTGAACCATCTCAACAACCCTTCCTCAGCCTCTGGGACAACAGTTTTGGCAATCCCGCCCCCTCCCCTAACTTCCAAACTCAAAAATCTCTCCCATTATTATTCACCACACATTGCCCTCAGACATGAATCTCCACTCCCTCCAGCCTTCTCCTCGCTGCAAATTCATCCCCATGCTTCACAGCCATATAAGGCGTTGGAAAAAATATACTCTCATACATTCCCTCTTTGCCCCCAAGGACAAAGTTCTTTGTTCACAGACTCCTAAGTGCACCGCTCACCCTTTTCCCCTCATCAATTCTATGATTCACCTCATCTTTCATAGATCCATCCGCTGACCATCCACTCCCAAATATCTGAATGCATTCACCCCCTCCATACTCTCTCCCTCCAATTGATATCCAATCTTCCACCACCTAATCTTTTGTTATCCTTTAGCCTTACTCTTTCCTGTATTCACTTTTAATTTTATTCTTTTACATACCCTACCAAATTCATCCACCACCCTCGGGCAACTTTCTCTTCAGAATCTCCCAAGAGCACAGTGTCATCAGCAAAGAGCAACTGTGACAACTCCCCTTTATGTGTGATTCTTTATCTTTTAACCCCACGCCTCTTGCAAGACCCTCGCATTACTTCTCTTACAAACCCCATCTATAAATATATTAAGCCTTTGAGGGTTTCGGACGTACTAGTACGCCTAAATTCTAGCGCCCTCAAATCTAGTGGGAGAAAGCTGGTAGGCCTCCATATGAAAGAATGGGTCTATGTGGTCAGTGTGCATGTATAAAAAAAATCCTGCAGAAACACAGTGCTAATGAGAAAAAAACAAACTTTGCCCGTTTTTTGGAATAAAAACAGTGATTTTGCACTGTTTTTTCATATGGTATTTATTGTTGTATTCTGTTTTCTTGGTCTCATTTTATAGAATGGAAAGCATTCATAGAATTGAGATGATTTTGATGGTTTTACAATGAAAAGTACCTTGAAATTGAGCTCAAAGTGGGCAGAAATGTTCGATTTTTTACCAAGTTCAAAAGTAAACAAATCATGCAAGCATACTCAATAACCCGCACATAAAAGCCAGAAGCTTACGACGACGTTTCGGTCCGACTTGGACCATTGACAAAGTCATATAACAGAGAAGGAGCGGCGGCTAATATAGGCAGGAAGAGGTGGATTTTGTAGTAGTGGTAGTAGTAGTAGTAGTAGTAGTACAAGAATTGTATATAAATACCGACAGGAAAAAATGAAAACATCACAACACCCGGGCATCCCCCCCATAGACGTTTCGCCATCAGCCAGCCACTGGATGGCGAACGTCCACAACAAAGAAAAACCAGACGCCGCACATGTGTCTAATTTCATCAGTAGAGTAGTAGAAGAAGAAGAGGTAGTAGTAGTGGTAGTGGTAGAAGTGGAAATAAGGAAGACGAGCCAGTCAAATAAAAAGGAGGGGAAGCACTGCAAGAGAGTAGAAACCCACAGAGGGAGAGCAAGCGCACCGAGGGGGTTTGAAAGGGGAAGTGGTGAAATAAAAAAAGGAAGGAACAGAAACACGAGACAGGAGAGAGAAAGACAACCCCAGAGGAGAAAAGGAGAGAGGAAAGGGGAAGAGGAAGAAGAAAAGAAAAAGAAGAAGAAAAAGAAAATGAGGATTCGGGTTTAAAGCCCACGGGTGTTCTGAAGTTTGGAGCATCTAATACACGTCAACTGGTGAGTCAAATATTCTTTTGCAAGTGCACCAATATGATTATACATTTTTTACACTAATGCAGTAGTCTGCATAACAGTAAATCTTCTATTTTTTGTGAGAAAAAAAATTCAAAGTGGAAAGCAAAAGAATGTAAGAGGGGCCTTGGACGTGATTTAATGAACAGAGGAAATGTCATTTTAATGCCAGGAATGTATTTCTTGTTTGTTCTGGACCCTATTCGGAAATTGGCATCTTTTGAAATTTGTGTGAAATTGGCAAAATTGCTAAATTCGGGCCACTTTACTGGATAGTTGAAATTGGTAATGGGTGGTTTCTTGCACTCATTCAATAGAAAAAATGGAGTTCTAGCGAAATATTCATGTTTTTTGTCGACTAGTAGTACGTACAGTGGAACTGGCCAAAAATGGGGCTCAAAGTGGGCAAAATCGCCGATCCGTAAACATCGCCGAGACCGCTAACTTCGCAAGAGCATAATTCCGTAAGTTTTCCATCAAATTTCATATTTTTGGTGTCATTATGATCGGGAAAAGATTCTCTATCTTTTCATAAGAATTTTTTTTTTTTTTTTTTTTTTTAAATTTGACCAACCCTGAGACCGAGTCTCGGAGAGGGCCTGTCGACCTTCAAAGGGTTAAACAACCATGGTGACATCACACATCCTTGTCTAAGGCCTACTTTTTCTGGGAAATAATCTCCCTCTTTCCTACATACTCTTCACTGCTTTCAGTAACCTACCTCCTACACCATACACCTTCAACATCTGCTACATTGCCCCCCTATCCACCCTGTCATACGCCTTTTCCAAATCCATGAATGCCACAAAAACCTCTTTAGCCTTATCTAAATACTGTTCACTTATATGTTTCACTGTAAACACCTGGTCCACACACCCCCTACCTTTCCTAAAGCCTCCTTGTTCATCTGCTATCCTATTCTCCGTCTTACTCTCAATTCTTTCAATAATAACTCTACCTACACTTTCCAGTATACTCAACAGACTTTTTCCCTATAATTTTTGCACTCTCTTTTGTCCCCCTTTGCCTTTATACAAAGGAACTATGCATGCTTTTGCCAATCCCTAGGTACCTTACCCTCTTCCATACACCTATTAAACAATAGCACCAACCACTCCAAAACTATATCCCCACCTGCTTTTAACATTTTTATCTTTTTTCCCATCAATCCAGCTTCTTACCCCCTTTCATTTTACCTACTGCCCATGAACTTCCCCACACTCACAACTGGCTCTTCCTCACTCCTAACAGATGTTATTCCTCCTTGCCCTATACTGAAATCACAGCTTCCCTATCAACATTTAACAATTTCCCCAAAATATTCCCTCCATCTTCCCATACCTCTAACTTCCATTTAATAACTCTTCTCTCCCATTTTTAACTGACAAAACCATTTGTTCTCTAGGCTTCCTTAACGTGTTTAATCTCACTCCAAAACTTTTTCTTATTTTCAACAAAATTTTTTGATAACATCTCACCCCTCTCTCATTTGCTCTCTTTTTAATTGCTTCACCACTCTCTTAACCTCTCTCTTTTTCTCCATATAATCTTCCTCCTTGCATCACTTCTACTTTGTAAAACTTCTCATATGCTAACTTTTTCTCCCTTGCTACTCTCTTTACATCATCATTCCACCAATCGCTCCTCTTCCCTCCCGCACCCACTTCCTGTAAAAAACAAACTTCGGTGAACACTCTTAACACTACATTTTTAAACCTACCTCATACCTCTTCAACCCCATTGCTATGCTCTCATTAACCCATCTATCCCTTTAATAACTGGGTTTTTATCTTACCCTAACTGCCTCTTTTTGTTTTTAAACCTTCACCTCCCCTCTTTCCTGATGCTTCTTTTGTCCTTGTATCTCATCTACTTTTACTCTCGTTTTAGCTTTCAAACTAAAAAGTGATCTGATATGTCTGTTGCCCCCCTATAACACGTACATCCTGAAGTTTATTTTTTGGGTATTGTTCCCGTGTATGTTAGTGGGCACAGGGAAAAAGTATGGATTTTCTTAAAGGTGAGCAGATTCAGACTTTTGAAAATTGGTGGAGTATGCTGGCGGGTGGGGGAATTTGTGGTATTTGTTATCCCATGGTTTACTGTGGGCCCAGAGAAATGTCTC